GCCCTCGCCGTGGCGCGTGCCTTGCTCCCGTAAGCGGAGGGAGATGGGAGCGACGCAGGGGCTTTTCTTGATCCCGAGAATTACTCAAAAGCGAAGCACTAGGGTTTCGGGAGAGGCAAAGCCGGGGCTCAGCAGCGCCCGGTTGCGTGTATAACAAATTTCTTTCTCGTTCTCTTTTGTTCTTTTGGCCTGTGGACGGCCAAGGCGGCTTCGTGAACTGCAGCGGGAAGGCAGTTTGTTTACTTTGTCTTGTTCTTTTCTTCTTCTTCTTCCCCTTTTTACAACCGCGCCACCCGGAGAGCGAGTTAGATTCGAATTGTTAATTGTGGCATTTGCCCATTCCCACACTGGGCCCCAAATCAGAACGACCTCGCCGCCAGGTTGTGTAGGCATTCCTGGGAGTTGACAAAGTCGAATAAAATCACAAGAATGCCAGATCGAGTCCCTGGTCCGGGGAACACTTTGCACACAGGATGAATACCGAATCATGCACTCTCATGATGGGCAAAAACCCCGCCTACTTCTTCTTCCAGCGCAACCTACCGACCCACCGGGCAAAGGCCGCCAGCTCATCCTGGGCCAGCAGGCGCTCGACCGTGTAGTAGTGGCGCGCGAGGTCCTCGTGGCGCGCGAAGCGGTGGACGGCGCGGTGGCAGGCGCCGCAGAGCCACGCGACGTTCTGCAGCTCGTCCTCGCGGTGCCAGCCGCGGCGCACGGCCTTGTCGTGCACCATGCGCGGGATCAGGTGGTGGTACGACAGGTTGATCCAGCCGCGCCCGCACATCTCGCAGGCCTCGGCGGCGCCGCGCGCCACGCGCGGCGGCGGGGGCGCGGTGGCGGCCTCGATGTAGTCATTCAGGACTGGGGCTAGGAGGTCCTCTGCCGCCGAGGTGGACGACGGCGACAACGACGACGACAGGGACGACGAGGGAAGGACGCCGTAGGCCTGCAGCGAGTCGACCACGTGCGGGTCCAGGGCGCACGGCAGGACGTTGGGGAGGGACCCGCCCGTCAGGGGCAGCGGATATCTGGAGCTCAGGGCCTGGTCCTCGGCCCAGCCGCGGTGGCTGAGCGAGCGAAGGTCCTCCGGGAGGGCCGCAAAGGAGGAGGCGGCGATGTAATCGATGAACTCGCCAAGCTCTTCGGCGGCGGTAGCAGCATCAGCGCCGTCGCCGTCTCGCGTGTCGCCATCAGTGACGGGCAGGATCGCTGCGGCTGATGGCTTGAGGATGCGCCCGAAAAGTGGCGCGCCCGACCCCGCGCCCACGGACTCCTCGGGGCTGCGGGCGTGGCAGCCGGTGGCGTTAGATTTTGGGTGGGGACCACAACGCCTGGGCCTGGACTTCCTCCGGGGCTTCTTGCTCGGCGAGGGGGAGAGACGCTTGACGAGCACGGCGGAGAGGCAGTCCCTGAAGAGCTCTAAGTTTGCGGTACCTTCCGGATCCGTCTGTTTGAGTTCGGCGACCATGCTGATTCTGCCTGATAGTGTCGGCTTCGGGGAGGGAGCGGGGATATCGGGACAGTTGGTGTCCTGGTACCTGGCTGCCAGCGGAGCGGGGTTCTGGGGACGGATTATGCAGCCAGTTGGGGTAATGACAGGCTCCCCGCGCAAGAAGGTGGACCGGGCATGGCGTCCCTCCTCCCCCTTTTCAACAGCATTGGATGCGGTTCAGCGACGCTAACATTCCCAGTCCTCCAACCCGCATGGCGACACGGAACGATTGAATTGTCATTCTCAGCCCCTCAGTTGTCAGACAGACAGACATTCAGCCGCAGGGCGCTTTCGGACGAGCGAGTGACTGCTTCGGCGAGACGAGACGAAGGAGACCGATATAAAAGACTAGGTCAGCCACAGCCGGTCCGTCGTGAGTCACCCCGAAGCCAATCCTGGTGATCCGCAGCAGGCCCAATTAGACCAGAGAACAGCCAGCCAGACAAACAACACACTGCGAGCTAGACAAGAGCGACAATGTCAGAGCCTAAGATCGCCATCGCCTTCGACCTGTACGGTACGCTGCTGGCGACCGAGTCCATGGCGACACACCTGGGCAAGATATGTGGCGACGACAAGAAGGCACAGGAGGTGTCGACGGTATGGCGCCAGTACCAACTACAATACAGCTGGAGAATCAACGCCATGGGTAGGTTATAGACGAGCTCTGTGGCCTACTACAAGTCCTTTGTTGGACGCGATGGGATGCTAACTGCGGCCGCCGCCAAAAATAACACAGGCATCTATCGCAGCTTCCGCGAGATCACCGAGGCGGCGCTGCAGCAGGCGGCAGACGAAGCCAAGCTGACGCTGCGGCCGGAGCACATCGTGGAGCTGATGCGCGACTACGACGCGCTGAACCTGTTCCCCGAGGTGCAGTTCGCGCTGGACGCGCTCGAGGCGGTGCACGACCGGGTGGACTGTTACATCTTTTCCAACGGGCCGGCCCCCATGATCCACGCGTCCGTGGCCAACTCGCCGACGCTGGGCAAGTACGCCAAGCTGTTCAAGGGCGAGATTAGCGTCGAGGAGGTGCAGGCCTTCAAGCCCGACGCGCGCGTCTACGACCACCTCGTGCGCGAGACGGGCCACGAGGGCCACGAGGAGGACGTGTGGCTCGTGTCGGCCAACGCCTGGGACGTGGTCGGGGCGCGGGCGCGCGGGCTGCAGGCCGCCTTTGTCGACCGCAAAGGCGCGGGCTGGACGGACCGGCTGGGCGACGTCATTGGCGGCATCAAGCCGTCCGTGATTGCGTCGGGCGTCGACCGGGCCGTGATTGAGATTCTGAACCACTCGGGCGGGCACTATTGAGGTTGCATGTGTTTTTGGCTGGGGGTTAATGTCAATCAATGGCAGGGCATCGAATTTGAATTGCGAGTGGAAGAGCTTCCAGTCCAGTCAAAGACACCTACAGTTTACTCGACGTCATTTGCATTCCAGCTTACAGAGAAGGCACGCCCACCATGCATTCCTTCCTCCCCTGCGCGTGTGCCCCGCGAATGGCTGCACACCCTCAACCAACCCCGCAGTCAAGCCGGTGCGGGCGTGATGACGGCTCCAGCCCTGGGTCTTGCCGGCTGACCACATCGTAGGGCAGCGCCAGGCACTGCCGGCACAGCCAGTCAGCGGACTACGCTGGTGTGTGGGTCGGGTCAAGCCACTGAGGGAGTGCCGTGAATGGGTGGGTGGGTGTTGATTGCATCGCCCGTCTGGGCATCGACACTACTTTTTGCCATACATCGAAGCCAGAGCACCCGACGTTCCAGTCCGAGC